AACACCTCAGCAGTGCCTCCATGCCACGCCGCATTGAAGCAGTCATTTCTGCAAAAGGATTCCCGACCAAGTATTGACTATTGAGTGCATAACTGAACATAATTATTTGAAGGTTGACTTTTTATTTATTTATTAAAAACACTTCTTTTATTGGTCGGATGAAATATGCTAATTTTTTGAGACAGGAATTTTTGGTTTTCATGAGCTGTATGCCAAAACCATCAGTATTAAAACAATAAAAGGCCTGAAATATTTCAATTGGTGTGCAATGAATCTAAAGTATATGAAAGTTTAATTTTTATCTTTACATTATGGAAAATAATGAACTTTATCACAATATGCTAATTTTTTGAGAAGGACCTTAAAGCACAGAGGAGGAAGATGAATTTCCATGAAAGTGAATTTCAGCATTAACGGATGAAAATGATTGATGATTCTCTGAGTCAGTGTCAGAGGACCAGCTCTCTAAAGCAGCAGTCTCCAATAAGTGTACCACAGTCCAGATATTAGCTTAAGATTGGTTTCACCCGGATAATCATTTATAATTAACAAATAATTTTTCATATATTAACATAATTATAAACAGTGTATTTTTTTTTTCTTCTCCACATGGAGAAACGGATCTGAAGTGGCATAAGATGCAGTAAGAGCAACTGTTAACACACATGTGAAATTAGACACTAGTTACATTCGCTTTTTTTTTTTAAATAACAGTTTAATTAATATTTTACTTGCGGTTTCCACAAACCTATTAAGCAGCACAACTGTTTTCAATGTTGATGATGATAATAATAAATGTTTTTTTGAGCTCCAAATCATGATATTAGATTTCTGAAGGATCACAGAAGATGAAATGATGTTGAAAAATTAGCTTTGCCAACACATGAATAAATTACATTTTATAATATGTTCAAATAGAAAACTGTTATTTTAAATTGTAACAATATTTCACAATATTACAGTTTGACACCAAACTTTTGAATGGTATTGTAGAAATTAAATTAAATTATTTGTAATTTTATACTGGTCAAAATAGTAGTCTCGACTATTTTGTCTGTGTATGATTTTTTTATATATATATTTTTCTTCTTTTTATTACAGCTGCCGACTTGAACATTTAAAATTAATTTTGCTAAAGTGCACGTTGCTTATTCAATTTCATAGCCATATAACACAAAGACTCCTGAAACGGTTTATTTTAAGACCTTTATTTTTCTGAACTTTTGCTGGGAAGGACATTTAGAGAGGCATTTAAAAGCATCATGTTATTGTGCTTTATGGATTCAGTGGTTGGCACTCACAATCATCCCTGTTTCCTGACCTCATCCTCTCAACACTCCACTCTTTTGTTTTCGTTTATGTTATTATAATAATTATGATGAATTATTCCTGATAAGGTAGGGTGCAATCCAGTCGTTATTGAGAGCCGCTCTACATAATGCTTTTGTGCTCTATTCGGTTGTAATTATAATGACCTTCAGCTGAGACATTAACTGTTATTAACAGAATAGCTTTATAGCAGTAATCTCTTTAAAGAGAAGAGATACAGGATGTCTGAGAGGGAGCATTTCTTCTGACTGGAAGCATAGATGAGAAGTGTTGAGATGAGATTCTGCCTTCATTTAAGTTCTCACCCTGAGTGAACCCAACAGTGTCTTTCCCTCAGTGCTCTTAGCTAACCGAAGTAGCATCTAACCGGCTTTTGGTGATGTTTATCACAGGCGAAGTATCGATCACAGATCCGTCCCTGTGTGCCTGCTCGTCGGATCTCACACGTAATCACAGATCAAACTTTCTGACCGGGCTGACGTCAGAGTGGTCCTTTCAATCCCCAAACACTTTGTTTCCTGGGTGTTTACGGGAAGAAGCTCAGTGCTGGGCCGACAGCCTGTCCCAGAGGAAGTGGGATGTCACAACTGGTCTGTGACATCAGGAATGTTCCTGTCAGTGTGTGTGGGAGCTCAGTGTCTGTGTGAGTCACCCGGAGCAGAAGGACGACTCAAGTCTGTACGTCGAACATTGGAGTGCTCCTGTTCAGCTGTGATGTGTGAGAGTTGAGTATGGACACATGATGAAGGGACATTCTCAGCATTGCTGCTACAAAATCTGCCTATATATGTTTATTACTAATTCCCTTTAAGGCTGTCAGTTCGCTCTCTGGGCATCTTGGTAAAACCCCTGGGCAGGTATTTGCCAAGTAGATGATAGGCGCATATACACTATTGTTAAAGAATTGGAGGTCAGTAGGATTTTTTAAAGAAATTAATACTTTTATTCAGCAAGGATGCATTAAAATTATCAAAAGTGACACTAAAGATTTTTATAATGTTACAAAATATTTCTATTTTCAAAGAAACTCTTTTAATCAAAGAATCCTGATAAAAAAAATCTATCATTTACATTATACACAGATATATTAGCACAACTGTTTTCATCTGAAGCCTGGAGTAGGGCTGTCACGATTCCTTGATTAAATTCATATACTCGATTGCATTTGCCCGTGTCGATTAACCGGCAAAATTCTGGAAGTGGTGCATTCCACGGACGAGAATCCATGAACTGCATTATTAGACTGTTTTCAAAATTATCCGTTTTTTTATTATCGCAAAAAAAATATCTGATTACTCGATTAATTGTCAAAATAATCGACAGATTATTACAAATTACTGATAGCCCTAGACTGGAGCAATGGCTGCTGAAAATTCAGCACAATAAAATACATTCTAAAATATATTCAAAAAGAAAACTTATTTTAAATTATAATAATATTTTACTGTTACTGTTTTTACTGTATTATTGATTAAAATAAATGCAGCCTTGGTGAGCATTACAAACAAAACTTCCTGACTCTTTAAAAAAAAAAAACTATATAAAGTTGAAATCTCCAAACTGTTTATCAAGTTTTCCCCCCCCAAAATATTATAAACCAACAATTGTATCATGAATTTAGCAAATCATGCTTAAAAACAATCACAGCCAAACAGAATATATGTCATGTTTAATAGTTATGCTGCATTAGATTTTAGACCAATGAGATTTCACTCTAGGTGGAGCTACCCACTTAAAAAAATAGAACTGATATTGCATGATAAAATTCTTAATTGGCAAACTCAGATTAGGTGGAAGAGATGTCTGATTAGCTTATGCATGTTTGTCAGATATTGAAATTGTAGCCACAATATTCATGTGCAAAGACACTTATGTAATTCATGCAGGAAGCAGCATGAAATAACACAATTTGCTGTTACTTAATCTGCTGTCTCCTGTGTAAATCTCGAAGTTGCTGTAAATTTTCCTTTTAAGTGCATCAAGCTCTCAGAGCTGAAGGAACACTTTACCCTAGTGATATTTGCAGAGCGACAGATTATTTACCTTTTTTTCTTTCTTCCCTTAGCTCTGATGAAAAACATAATTTGATTTACAGGTCTCTCTGTAATATTTCCACATCATTTGCCACACTCAAACAGTAAAGATTACAGCCATAAAACCCTGAGGTGCTGTAATCCATTTGAACTGAGCCGTTCAGTTACTGCAACAGCAGCCCAAAGGCTTGTGTGGATATTAATCTAACCTCTTCTAATGAGTTTCTGTTAGAATTTACTTCACTCTTGCATTTAAGGAGATGGATATTGTATGAACATTTGGTTTTGAAAAATCAAGCATAATAAATCCAATGTGTATATTATTACCAATATGGGTCTGAAATACATTTTTTGTCAAAGATTGTACAAGTACTTCTTCATAATGTTTAAGAAATATGCTGCATTTTAGCTTTGCATGGCTAAGTTTTGCATGGTTCACCAGCATTAACCAGCTGAGACTAGCTGGAATATATATATATAAGCAGGAAGTGTGTATCCATGAGCAGTGGGTGTGTTATTGTGGCTTTGCCTAGGCATTGATTTATTTTGAATGCTCTATTGGGCTGGTGAATGAGTTAGACACCTCTTGAAAAGCAATTAGTTAGCCAGATAACATGCGGAATAACGTAATTTGATGTTGCTCCATTCACTGTCTCTCATCTTTTCACCCTCTTACACTGTTTTCAATATCCTAACGAAGCACGTAGTCAATACAGGATCAAGCCTAGTGGGAGGCGAGCATTTATAATGACTCAATGAAGTGCACACGGTGTACTCTAACACATTCAATACGGCCCGATCCATAGACCGAGGCGAAGAGCGATCCATCCTCAAACTCCATTAGCATGTTTATGCAACACTACAACATAGATTGCTTTTGGAAGTGCTAATGAGAGAGTGAGGATTATTAGGGGGAAAAGAAAAGAAAAAACTAGACCAGATAAAAGAGAAAAATACAGTTTATTGCACTGGGACCAAAAGTTTTTAATCGTTTTTTTATTTTAAATTTCAGGATTTTAAAATATTTTTATTGAAGTTTTATTTTAACTTCAAGAACGATTGCAAAATATATATTTTTTTCAACAGTGTTATTTTATTATCACTGAGAAAATATAGTTTTTATTAATATTTGTATCTTTTTTTTTTTATCATTTTTATTTCAATTTTAGTTTTTTTCATTTGAGTACATCACGTTAAACTAAATGATAATTAGAAATGTTTCCTTGCGAACTTGCTGAAATAAAATAAGTGTAAGGTTTTTTATATTTACTTTTATTTCAGTGGTTTTAGGTAACTAAATTGTTTTCCTCCTCATCTGCCTTTGGTTGGACTGACAAATATTCCCACCTCAAAACTGGTTATAGGCCTAGTTATATATATTTTGTTTATTCTTTGCAGGGACATCAGCCTATTACATGGCTTAGCTATAGTTGTCTTTGTATACTAAGTATATAAATTATTTTACAATAACTTCTGCTGTAAGTTTTCAGAGTGAAGAGATCTTTAGATGCTGTGTTTTTCTATGAATGTGCATAATACCGTATTACTTCTTACAGTCCACTGTGTCACATAAAGTATTTTTTAATTTCTGGCCAATCCTCATCTTACATCTTTTTTCTCCTGTCCCTTGCTGTCCAGGAACACTTCACACCAGAGTGCAAGTTTAAGGAGTCAGTGTTTGAGAACTACTACGTGACATACTCCTCCATGATCTATAGACAACAGCAGTCGGGCAGGGGCTGGTACCTGGGCCTGAACAAGGAAGGAGAGATCATGAAGGGCAACCATGTGAAAAAGAACAAACCTGCTGCACACTTCCTCCCCAAGCCTTTGAAAGGTAAGTCACCACCTCTGCACATTTTAATATATTGCTATTGACTCATTTAAGCTGCTCTTTGTGAGAACTACCTCTATAAGATGATTTTTAAAAGTCCTTATCCAGTTCTAAAACATTTCATCAGCTAAAAATGTCTTGAGTGTGAATGTTTTGAGTGCAGTCTCAGAAAATGATTCTTTAAAAAGCTTCTAGTAATCACGAATGACTGGAAAAGTGATTGGTCAATTTGTGGGAACTAGGGCTGGGCGATAAAACGATAACGATAATTATCGCAATATAATTTTTCTCGATAAAACGATATCAAGAGTTCGATAAATGTTCGATAATGTTTATGCGCCAAAAGCGGAACGAAACTCATTTGAACCGCGCGCGCCTCATGGACTGTTTATCCGCTCGGCTCAAAGTCCAAACGGCAGCGCGAGCTCACTAGAGCAGACGCGTTTACTCTGATCGGCCTCGCTCACGAGACCCAGTGAGAAGAGCTTGAGTTCAGCGAAGAACACTAATGTCTCAGTGATTTAAACCAGTTTAAAGGCAGATGAGACAGCGCTGACAAACAGGAGAAACACTGTGATACAGTCAGAATATGAATTGATACTGAATCCGTTTACCATGGATTTACTGTAAGGTTTATTAATATTAACTGCACCATGAAATGTGGGATATACATACTGAATTGTATTATATTATTAATGTAGACAATGTTTTAAATGACTAATGGAATATAATTACAGTATTTAATTATGTATTTAGGCTACTTTTTTTCATACAAATACCATAGAAACCATAAAGTTACATTTTGCCATGATAGTGATGTGCTATAGGCTATGCCTGGCTTTATCTGTGGTTATCATGATCTAAATGCATGAGACTGGATGACCAATGGTTCATTTTAATAAAACTCAGAATATTACATTTTACCAAATACAAATTTTAACAGATGTTACTGTTTTTTTAATGAACATAAATTTAACAGAGTAGTATTAGCTTGTGTTAGGATGCAGATTTACTGTCTACTCACTGTCAAATATGCGTTTCGAGACAAAACATGTAATATTAATATTGCAGCCTGCACTGCAAACTGTGCTGAAGATACGTGCCATCAAAGTCAGGCAACACAAACATGTTTCAAGACTTAATATTCCCCATGAGCACATGCAGAAACTAAGAAATATATTTTTCTATTCCGATATTTATTTTGTTAAGGAAAAATGACAAATGATGTTTTACGTGAAATGATGATGTGAAATGTTCACCTGTTTGGCAAGTGTTTGTCATATGTTCTGACAATAAAGAGTAGTTTAAAACCACAATTAACGCTCTGGTTTCTACAACTTTCACATAGGAGCAAAAATCTGCCTTTAAACTTGAAAGAAATAAAGATTTGACATTTATCGTGATAATTATCGATATCGACTGATATAAAAAAATTAGGCCATATCGCCCAGCCCTAGTGGGAACCCTGATGATTCATCTACTGGACAGGAAATAAAACAAAAGGCATCTTTTGTATCTTTTATTGTCTTTACTTTTATAAAAAATATTGTATCTTTTGACATTGTCAAAATGAAATTTCATTATACGTACCCCACTATCCTTCTGAATTCTCTAAACTATGGGCTCCGGACCTGTGAGCACACAATCTGCACCTTCATTGTCTCTCAACCCTTGTAAAGTGTGGCACCTTGTTCTCTCCATGCGCCTGTGGGAAACGCTGGTCGCAGGCTCTTGGCTGAGGTGATGAGGTGTGGATAGTGGAGTCTGTAAGGAGCGCTGCGGACGCCAGCACAATCAGACCGTTTCAAGCATTGTCTATGCATAAAGGCTCTGGAATGATAAAGCAGCTTTTGACAGCAAACAGACCTGTACCCTTCCATCCAGGCCAAGGCAGCCATCTCAGACCAGAACACAACAGAGCTTTGTTCGATTGTGAAAGTTCCTTGTGACTTTCATCTGCTGTCTGCATACTTCCTTGTCAACAGACACAGAGAGAGTGTTCTCTAAGCAAAAATGTGTTGTTGTTGTAGAAAAAGTATGAAGGAGGTGTCACATGATAACTTATAAAAGCTTACATTTTAAAACATTAAGACATAAATATTACTTTTGTTTCTGGGTATCAAAGATGTGCCAAATTCAAGGTAAACATGAAGTGTTATTGCTTTTAGATGGACTTTTAATGCCTTGCTCTTCTTTTAGTAAAGATGCATAATTAGGATTTTTCTCTTAATGAAGATTAGACTAATCTCTAAACTAAGAGCCGCTTTGCTTTTATGTAAACAGTAACTTCTCAAATGGCTCATGCTACACAAATGAGTTTTTGAACATAATGGGCCCTATTTTAACGATCTAAGCACATGGTCTTAAGCGCACGGTGCAAGCGCACTTAGGGCGTGTCCCTATTCTGTTAATGATTAATAGGTGTGTTTTGGGCGTAACATGCAATAAACCAATCAGAGTCTCATCTCCCATTCCCTTTAAAAGCCAGTTGCGCTCATGCACGAGCAGATCCGTTTCCTCGCTAGAGAAGCGTTCAGTTTTTGCGCTTGCAAATTCCACCATGTAAATAGTGAATCCGCCATGGCGCGAGCGACGACCATCTAAGCAAGGGACAAAGTGTACGCGCGTTGTGGACCCGCCTATAGGTGCATATTACTAACGCGATCTTTAAATAACAAAAAAAAAAATATTGCGGCATTGACTTTATACCAGGTTTCAGTTGGTCAATGGCGCAGTCTATTTCAATTGCCTCAAAATAGCAACGCGCCAACAATGCGCCTGAACACACCTCGTTTTCAAACCAGCACGGCCATGGGCGCACAAATGCCCGCAAATGCATTTGCTATTTAAACAGGACGCAGGGTGCAGGACGTGAAAATGATAACTGCGTCGGGCTGAAACTAGCAAAAAACACTTGCCTGGCGGCTGGCGCTGCATTGCGCCGGTTGTATGATAGGGCCCTATGTCTGATAATGTCACACAATTCAAGTACTTACAGAAATCAATAATGCTTTTCACTGCTTAAAGAATTAAAACAAGGTCTTTTATTTGATTAGAAATTAAAAATGGAGGCTTAGCAGCTGAGAAACATTTTTGTTCTCAGAGAAAGCCTTAGCTCGTGAAAATGCATTTCCTTTTTCTAAGAGGCTTGGAGTGTGTTGAGAGGATGGTGAGTGTAAACTAGGAGTAATGCATTGGCTTTGAAGGACATTCACTGTGAAGATGATTTACTAAGGTTGATTTTAGAGGTCATCTCAGCCATTTAGTGTGGTTTGTGCTTAAAGGGTGAAATAACAATATAAAGTACACTTATTCAGGATACATTCTCTGAGAAAAAAAAGCCTAAAGCAAATTTGCTTTTCCAATTAATGCTGTCTTGTTTTAAGGATATTTAGATATTTTACTGGGGATATTTATATTTGTATATATAGATATTTGATACATTATAGATATTTTAGATAAATATATATATTTTTTTTTTTTGCAGTATATGACTAAGATGGTCACACATTCAGTAATCTCGATGCTTCACCAACATTTGGCCAGATTTGTTTTTTTAAATTGTTAAAATGCAGGAAAATATTGATTACACTTTACAATGTGGTTTTATACATTAACATTAGTTAATGGAATTGTTCAAATTAAGTAACAATGAACAATAGTTTTACAGCATTTATTAATCTAAGTTAATGTTAAATTCTACATATACTCTCATTCAAAAGTTTGCAATCAGTTAGATTTTTTTAATGTTTTTGAAAGAAGTTTATTATGCTTACCAGGGCTGCTTTTATTTTATCAAAAATACAGGAAATATAGTAATATTGTGAAATATGAATACAATTTAAAATAACTGTTTTCTAAAATGTAATTTATTCCTGTCATGGCAAAGCTGAATTTTCAGCATCATTACTCCAGTCTTCAGTGTCACATGATCATTCAGATATCATTCTAATATGATGATTTGATGCTCAAGAAACATTTATTGTCATCAATGTTGACAACAGTTGTGCTGCTTAAACTTTTTGTGGAAACTGATACTTTCTTCAGGATTCTTTGATCAATAGAAAGTTCAAAAGAACAGCATTTATTTAAAATATAATTATTTTGTAACATTGTAAATGTCTTTGCTGTCACTTTTGATCAATTTTATGCATCCTTGCTAAATAAAGTATTAATTAATTTCTTTTAAAAAAATCTTACTGACGCCATTACGATAGTAATATAATGTATTATGAATGAACATAAACGTATTAGTATATTAAACAATTAACATTACTTTAGATTAATAAATGTTGTAAAAATTTTCATTGTTAACCTTATACATTTATCAAATATTAACAAATTGAACCTTTTTGCAAAGTGTTACCATAATCTTTTGTGGAAAAGTGATGATTGTGTCAGTTGTGAGTTTAGTTGTTGCAGAGGAGAGTTATGTCATTTAAAGACAGAGTGGGACTTGGGAGTTTTGCTCGCTGCCTTATAAAGATTTTCTAGCTGTATTCTTCCAGAGGACCAATTAAAGAACTGTCTCCTCGCTGTGAACATCGCTTCGGCTGCCAGTTCTCGGCTCACAAAGAACTGTAGTCTCAGTCCAGAGTGCAGCCTGTAAGATCATTACCATTGCCAAAGAACCAGACACCATACGGCTGACGTATATTCATCCATAATCCCTGAGCTTGGGGCCTCCTTTTTATGTTCAATTACTATAATAAGAAAACATGTTTTATACATTTGAAAGTGTTTAACACTTCAACCATGTATTGTCATATTGATGCAGTCACACTTTGAAGAACATTGTTGCAGAACATTTGACTTAAATGATGAGATGTTATATGACAAAGCCCAGAGAAAACTCTATAGAGTGCCCTAATAATGACCTGGCCGTGAGCCTCGAGACTCCTGCCCTGCATCCCTCCAGGGAGAAGCTCCACACTTGGTTTCACAACCAATACGTCAACTATTGATTCTTAGAGCTTTCCGCTTAAGTGCTGTATCGATTGCCTGTTGCAGGCAGAAGAAGCTTTGTGTGAGGTTAAAGGAAGTCTTTGTGATGCTGCCTGTACTGCACATCCATAGTTAAGATGATCAGACAGACACATTTTAGCACACACTGGCTACCTAGTGGGTTTTTGGAGTTATGATGTAAACGTGCTGTCTGAAGTGCTTGGGTTAGACACGTGTGTCAGATAGCAGGAGTTGGGACATGGATATTAGCTCTCTAAAAAAAATGTTTCTGCTGAAAAGTTAGACATGGAGTGAAAAGGTGCATCTCAGAACCGAAGCACTTTTCTGCTTGACTTCCATAATCACTTCTCACAGTCTGTTCTGCTCTACTGTACCGCAACGGTTTTGACCTGTGTGTGTATAACTCAGTGGGGTTCTCTAACAATTTAACAATTTTGACGTAATATTTTGCTACTTCAATTACCAAAGTTTATTCCTAAAATAATAGCTATATAAATGCTATCGTTAATAGCCAAAGTTGGGTTGGTAGGATTTTTTTTTGTTTTTGAAAGTTTTGAAGTCTTTTATGCTCACCAAGGCTGCTCAAATACAGTAAAAAAAAAAATAATACGTAGCAAATTTGTGAAATATTATTACTATTTGAAATAACTGTTTTCTGTTTTAATATGTTTAAAAATGTAATTTATATGAATTTTCAATTTTTGAATTGCCGGTACTCTCTTGCATTGGCAAATCATGACATTTGAAATTTCTACAGTGAAAAATAAAACTTGGAAATATTGCTGGTACAACAACAATTTATTGTTATTTATTAACAACAAATGTATTTAAACAAGTCGTGTGTGTGCGTGCGTGTGTGCGCGCATTTATTTACAAAGAAACATTCTCTTTTTAGAAGTTGGTCATTAATAAACTTGATTCTTGAAGTTTGTTAAGATGGGAGGTATACAACAATTACATGTAAATGGTAAACAACAAAAACAACCAAGAAAACAGCTTTGATAGTGTCTTTTCAGTCATATGTTTACAAGACAGCAAAAAAAAAAAAAAAAGTAAACTCGGGTTTGATTTGGGCATGTCTGTGTAGGCTATTACATAAACTAAAAGAAAGCTTATATTCTGACTTGTTTGCTCGTTTTATTTTTTTATAAAACATATAGTTTTACCCAAACTGAATAATTAAGACAAGTTTAAATGGCTAAATCTTGTATAAATATTTTTGAGTCTTCATTTTCTTTTCTGACGTAGCCTACTCCAGTTCTTGTTTTATTCTTTGCTTTCACTTTAAATGTCGTGAGTAGCACAACAATAGACTCGGCGGCGAACCCCCGCTTCACTGCTGCTCACGCGACGCTCCTCCTCGCGGTGTGAATGCACTCATTGATTAACGCAAGCCGGAAAAAATACGCGCTGCTCACGCTTGCGGTGGCCACGATCAGCCATTCGCAGCCGTTTCGCAGCCGTAACGCGCCGCAGATGTGTGCAGTGTAAATAAGGGGTTAAATGGCCGTCACGCTTTTTCTGTCAGTAGAGTACCGGCTACATGCGAGAAGTAGCGGTACGCAAGAAAAAGTGCAGGTACGCTTAAGAATAAAATGTAGAAGTGCCGGTACTGCGTACCGGTGAGTACCGCCCCACTTCGAGCACTGGTCTTATATGATTTTGTTTCTATTGGTTATAGGAGTTTTTGTTTTTTAAAATGTTTTGATAAAAGGCTTAGATAATTATCAGCCATTAATTGTTGACTTTTTTTCTGTTTATTTTCATATTGCAAATATTCAGTCAACTAAACCTGATGGAAAATGTCTGTTTAGCTTAATCAGTGGCTTTCATGAAGTAAACAAGCACATTTTCACCCCATTTTCCTTTTCTCTGTGCACAGCATCTAACATAAAATGTGGGAAGCTTTTACTAACCAAACACTCTTTCTTTGTTTGTGTTTTTCAGTGGCCATGTACAGGGAACCCTCTCTGCACGACCTGACCGAGTTCTCACGTTCTGGCAGCGGGACACCCACTAAGAGCCGGAGTGCTTCCGCTGTGCTGAACGGGGGCAAAGCTGTGAGTCAGAACGAGTCAACGTAGCCCGGTTTACCCAGCCCGGCCCGCTACCGTACGCCTTCACCAAAACCTCTGAATGCTTGAGACTTCACACAGACTTCTCTCCAAAAAGCTCTCAGCGGTTCAGGACAACATGAAACACAACATAACCATGCTTCACTTTGCAAACTAGAGTTTCATTTGATTGGACTTCTTTATAATTAGCTTGTTTTTTTGTTATGTTTAGCTCGTAACTGTTGTTGGGGTTTTTTCCCCTCCTTTAACACTCTCGTTAATGCCTTTTCCATGTGAAACAACAATTGTAGCGTTGCATACAATGGGACGTTTGGTTTTAGTCCCTCTCAGCAGTCAAGGTTCATTTACTAGCATTGCAGGTCCTGATGAAATAATACATTTGTTAAGAGTTCAGGGCAGTAAGTGAGGGTTTAGCTGCACGGGTGCCAACCTTGTCCTCCATGCTTCCTGAGTGTGAAGCGATAGAGAAGCGTCCATTCCCCGTGTGTGTGTGTGTGGGGAGGGGACTCTGTGTTCATGTGCACTCGCTCAGAGGGCTTGCTCTCTAGCATGGGAATATAAAGCCTACGTTCTGCTCACATGAAGAGAGAAGCTGAGGCTCTCAGAAGCAAGAGGCTTTGGCTTGCTAATTGTTTGAATTAGCTGTGAGCTTGTCTTACTTTCTCTTCCTCTCGTTCTTCCCCCACATCAGTGTTTTTTGAGGTTTAAACAGCGACTGGAGATCCAGCGCACCAAAGACAGAGCTGTGAGAGTTTCCCCTCGAGCTGCCAGACCACACCGCTACATATATATGTATATATACGCGCATGACAGGAATGATGAATAGGTTTTTTCTGATGGGAGTGATTAGTGAGAGGTTTCAGTATTCGAGGAGATGGATGTGTGGTTAATGATGGCTGTTTGATGTCACCCCTTTTGTCTCTTTTGCGTCCCGTCATCTCTTTTCTAGGTTCCTTAAGTCTGTGTGCTTGTGTTTTTGCCTTTTTTTTGCCATGTCTTCTTTGGTCAATGCTGGTCACCGTTACTGGTCCCACCTGGACTCCGTTTTGTGTATAATTAACTTATGGTGGTGACAATTTTCTATATAAATGAGCAAACAAAAAAATGATACTGTGGAACTTAAGTTGGTTGCATTTTTTAGGGTGTGTCTAATTTGTAAAAGTGAAAAAATGACAAAAAAAATCTTGTACAGGGCATGTACAAATCAGGTTGTATACAATAAGGACCCTTTTTGTGGGCTGCAGCACAGTATATATTATTTCCCTCGGGCAACATAACGTCATACATGCTAGAGGGGGTTCTTCTCTCTTCTGTTTCCTTCTGGGTTTCGTTTTTCTACAGTATCTGTTGCATGGGAGACTGCAGAGAGGTCAGGAATAGAGCTGCATGATTTAGGCTAAGTGTATTAACTCCTCCCTGGATCATATGTTCAATACTACCAGGATAAAACTGGCAAACAACATGTACGTACTGACTGGCACTCTGCCACGTACCTTCAAGTTGTTTCTTATTTGTTGTGTACATACACAATGCACTGAATAAAATGTTTATATTAAGATATACTTTTAAATTGCGTCTGTGCTTTATTTGTTCACTTCGATCGGCATAATTGTATTATTATTCTCTTGGCATACTGGCCAATGGATCCTATCTTTCTCTTTGCCAATTCAGTTTGTTTTAATGGCCTCTTACATCTTATTTTAATCTATTTACCCTTTTGGAATTGGGGTATTAAATAGTCATATTGTCCCAACATAATCAAATACTGAAGCAACAGAGCAATTCGATTGATACCAGAGAACAAAAAACATTGGGAATCAAACTGTGCAGTTGTTGGACCGTTTTTGTGTTGTTTCCAGCGTGAACAAAAGTAAAACGGCACTTAAGAGAGCACTATGTTGTAAGAAGGTGACAAATAGCACTGCACTGGAGAACGGATGTTGTTTTTGATGCTTTCCTGGCTGGTGCTGGCGTGTAGTTGAGCCAGTGATATAGCCAACTATATCCACTTCGTCTGGACAAAGATGAATCGCTCCTGGAAAAAAGTGCTGTTTAATTGCCTGAGTCAAGACTCCTGCATGGCTTCTACCTCGTGGAGCAGTTTCATGTAATGAATCAGTATGATAGACAGCCTTGTGACCAAGTGTTCCCTTGAGTAATATAGTGTGAACATTGGAGATCACTGTTGGAAAAAAGAGTTTATATTCTCGCATTATTGAACTATAGGTCTCCACAGCTCACCATATGGATGTTTATTGGTGCATTTGCATTATATATAATGTCAATATTAGAAATACACTGCTGTTTAAAACTTTGGGGTTGGTAAGATTTTTGAAAGAAGTCTCTTATGCTCACCAATGTTGCATTTATTTGATTAAAAATACTGTGAGAATTGTAATATTGTGAAATATTCTTGCTATTTAAAAAAAAATCTGTTTCTATATATTTAACAAAAAGCTGAATTTACAGCAGCCAGTCTTCAGTGTCACATGATCCTTCTGAATTTATTCTAATATACTGATTTGCTGCTCAAGAAACATTATTTGAAACATTATTATCAATGTTGAAAACAGGTGTGCTGTTTAATATTTTTTGGAAACTTTTTTTTTGATGAATAGAAAGGTCATAAGAACAGCATTTATTTGATACATTATAAATGTCTTTACTGTCATTTTTGTTTAATGTGTCCTTGCTGAATAAAAGTTAAAGAATTATTATTATTTGTTTAATCTTACTGACCTCAAACTTTTAAATGGTAGTGTAGATCGATGCATGCTCATTGTATTACCTTTACTGTCATCTAACGCTCACTTAAGGTTTATCTTAAAACTCTAATTTTATAACACTGTAAATGTAATCCTTTAGCATATCTTAAAATAAATGTTTAATTCTGTATATTATAACGTGATGCATACATTCACCTGTAGCATTTTTAAAACAATCGATTTTTGTGTTTTATTTTAAATGAACAGTATTTAGACTAAATCAGTGAATCCCTGTAAAAATGTATGTTACTGATGACTGTAAATCTATTGAGAATGTAAGTGTGTGACAGAGAAAACATAAGGAGCAGGAACAATGCCCGAGACAGTGAGGATCTCTTGTGGTGCAGTATGTATATACAGCAGTCAAGTGCTCTGTATGTTATTAGCTCTGTAAGCTGAAATGAACTAATGAGGAGTCTGTTCCACAGCAGCAGGTCGACACATTTCATCTCATGTGCTGCTGCTTTATGCACTTCCATTATTTCCTTTCTTCTTGTTGATTAACCAGAACACTCTAATTCATTAACACTGACAATTTTCTGTAAGCCAACTGGACAAGCTCTTATCCTGAACAGACAGCAACCCACAGACCATGCAGCATAATGAAGACGAACCCTCAGAGACCGAGTTGTTTCAGTATGGAGACTTGACACAAAAACTCACCTTATAGACAAATGTTGTGAACAAAAAGTGAGAGCAGCAAATTTGTCATATAATTCAGTCTGCATCAGAGCCTTTTGCTGAAAAGAGTCTTTCTTATACCGTTCTCAATAGACTCTGATTAGATTCTTTTTTACATATGGAAATATCGACAAACCATGTTTATACAGAAAGCTAAGGGTTAGTTTAATATATTGGTCTTAATGTATACAGCCACGGGTATGTACTTGTTGTAATGCGTTGTTGGAGAGAAACGCACAACAAAGGAATGGAAAATCAAGATCATCTCTAATAATAGACAAAACAAACACGCATACATCAACAATAATGGACAAATGAACTAGGGAAACTCAGGGCTTAAATACAAGGAACAAACAAAGGGAACTAGATGAACACAGGTGAACAGAATCTAATGATCAGTGAATAACTAGAGTGTGAATGAGTAACCAAAACGGGAACAGAAAGAAAATGAAACTTAAACAGACCACACAGTTTTCAAGCTTTTCTAACTAAAACAAATTGTATTTTAAGGGATTCTACATTATTTTGTTTAAATGTATAAAAAATAAATATATTCCTTTTAAATGTTACAAGTGAATTTAGGCATCACAATACTATAATGTACAGTGTGGTGTAAAAAAAATTATATTTATATTTGTATAAGTATATTTATTTTGAGATTTGGTATTAAACTATGTGCTTTTAAAGCGTTAAATATACTTTCTGAGTGCAAAAGAAAAATGTAAATATCACATGGAATTAAGTAAAATCTACTTAACTAAGTTTTAAACATTCAAGTAAACAATACAGTAGATTTGTTGTTATACTTTCAACCAGCCAAATTATGCATTTATCTGAATATTGTATAATATATATCTGTACGATACAGGTAATGAGGTACCCAACTGAACACAGAGACTTCAATACTTGGTACACAATATACATTCAATAGATAGTTTTTGAATATTAATTGATTATTTTTAGTGGAAAAGGAACTCCAGATCATGTCACAAAGGCAAAGCATCACTAAACCTACTCTAACAAATGCAGTGACAAAACAATGTTAATACAACTGGAAAACTTGCAACCTTATTAATTATTCATGCCCCATTGCATAATGGGAACACCAGTATTAGAAAGTTGAGATGGTTTTACTTAATTCTATAACTTTGACATTTACTTGAAGAATAGTTCCAAGTAAAATATACTTACAAGTTCAAGCTTTCATTTCTACAAGCTTGAACTGAGCACTACTATAGAATTGACCTGCTTTATTGCCTGAACTAACTCATTCAGTGAAGAAATTACATTTGTTTTTTTCTGTTGTATTTACTTTGCCACATAATCTTTTTTTAATCAGTGTACATATTTATTTAGTACAACTGATACATTAAAAACTAATATCATCTGATAACCAATATGGTACCAACATATCATGCTATGTTTATTTGAATGTTCCAAAAGTTCCATCAGCGTGGAGAGCAATTGGATTAATAACATCTTCCTTTATCAGTACAGTTTCTTAGTTTAATGTATTTGTTAAGCTTCTGCATGTATCATCTGTCCATGTGAAATATGGTTCCAGATCCATTCAAATGAAATGAGCAGATCAAAGTCATCATTCCCCATAATCACATTCAGCTGCATGTCATCTATGATCGTAAAATGTCAACTTTCTGACTCACACTTACTGATCATGGAGAGGAAGTACGTCTACTGGAGTGGGCTGTAGTCAAATGAGGATGAACTAAGCCAAGGTAAAATATGACATGAGCTGACATTATTAGACAT